TTGAAGAATGCTCAAAGGTTAAACTGAGATGAAGTTTAGCGTGTGCACAATGAAATGTTAATGATTTAAAAATAAAAGAATTTTGCCTCGTTTGGAGCACATAAAGATAACGATACAGAATTATTGTAGTGAAATTTGACAGAATTCTATCAAAAGTGCAATTTTCTATTGCACAGAATTTCCAGAATAAGACCATGTAAATCGCTTTATATAAACAGAGGTAAATTTGTGTTTACTATAGGCATTACATTTATTCCAGTAAATGGGTCTATTAGCGGCAGCAAGTCTCAAAAGACTGGTAGCTCATCCCGACTTCTATCCTTTATACTTGAATGAGTTGACTGCATGAGACTTTGTTGTATTCCCATGTGTCAGGCAAATATGAACAAATTCCTTCGAACGTTCTCTACAAAGTCAACCATATTTTTAGGCAGGAAGATTTTCAATGAATGCTTTGCTGTAATTAAGCAAACAATCGAATAACTTTCCTCGTCTCCACATCCCCAAGAGAAAAGCTATGAATCTTAACTTGTATACGAAGGAATAAAGCGAAAACGAAAGGGTGAAATGCGGCTTACTATAAAAAGGAAGGGCAATTCAAAAAAAGCTTTTCTTAAAGCTTTTATGCTTCTAGCGTTTAAACGTTAGAAAAATAAAAGCTTTAAACGTCAACATAATATTTTTTGTTATATTTTAAAGTTTTCATGTTCTCAGTAGATGGCATCAGTGGTTTACTTATATCAAAATGGCGACAGTGTCGAAAAAACCTTAACGTGCATTGTGATTAGCCGAACCAGAGAAACAACTGTGGGAAATATTGAAAGGACATCTTCTACCATACTTACAAGCTTATGCTTAGATGCAGAAATTCAAAGGTAGAGGAAACTCTGATTCATCTAGAGAAGATTCTATGGAGCAGATGAAAGATTCATTTTATAGAATGGTGTGGTTTGATTTATCTTAAATATGGCAAAGCACTTGAGAGATATCCCCAATGGGGAGGGATGTATTCGTGGTGGTGATGTATTTAATTATGGCAAAGCACACTAGGGCTATCTGCCTAAGGAAAGGGGATGCCTTCTTGGAGGACTTTCTAAGGGAAACTGGCTCGTATACATGTTACACATGGAGGAAAACCACGAAAACGCCCATGCAGCCAGCCCGTTCGCGGGATTCGAACCTCAGACCGAACTACCAGTGTTCAGCGACTTTTCCGCTCGGCCGCTGGTGGGCCGGTGTATTCGTGGAAAATTTTCTAAGGGAATCTAGCTGTATACACGTTGCAGATGGGGGAAAAGCACAAAAACGTCTATGCAGCCGACCATTTTGCCATGATTCCTACCCCAGACCGAACTACGGTGTTCAGCGACTTTACCGCTCGGGCCAAAAGGAAATTAATGAGAAATTCTCAGTATACAAGAGTTAATTTATCAAAGCTTGGACATATTTAGTAAATCCGAACGCGACCGTGTCAAGATTTATTGAATGTATGCTAAATATATTCGGCTTTTAATATGCGGGCTTTTGTAATAAAAAGGTTTTAAACTTTTTTTCTTACTTTAAAATGAATTTCAATATGTAGCTTCGCTTTGTGTTAGGAATATATGTGTCAGAATAATAAAAAAATCTTTCTCGAAAATTTTGTGTGATGCTCTTACTATAATGCTTATGTAAAAGGGCTGAATTTTAAACATAGCCGTGAAAAAAATTAATCTTTCCACATTACACTACACAACATTCATGTTTTAAAAGTGTGCACTGAAGCTACTTTACATCAGGATAAAAAAGAAAATACATAATATTTTATTTTTTAGTTTATGATGCAAAGAGATTAATCATTAGTCAATGATTAAGATTACTGATCATGACAAATTAATCTGATGTAAAAGTCTTAGTCACTAAATAATCTCTTATTCGCTTTGGGATACTGTTTTTCTGTAACGCTGCAATATGAGTGTAGAGAAAACAAGAATTCTTACTAATTATTTCAAGATAAAAAATTTTTATTTCTAAGTGAAAGCTTTAAGACCTTCCGGTCACCTATCAGTAACTTCAATTTTATTTTCTAACAGCTTATCCAAAATAAAATACTTAATTACTGTATTACTATATTATTATTTAGTTTCTTAATTTGCAAATGATGTTACGAAAATTAAAAAAAGGATTTCTCTTTGGGAAAATATATAAATTGAGGGAATTAGAAAAAGTATAAATATAATAAATTTAAAACAAACTTGGCACACTATACGGATAAACAAATATAATTTTAAAGAATTTAAAAATAACTTTTTCCCGAAGATTAATAGTTCTCTTTATAACGGCGTTAAGGGCAGCAATTCAAAGTATCCTATATATGTCTTTTTGCGATTTATTTTTTGCATTACGTATCCAGTGATTGACGTTCTGTAAGTTATCATGAATACCTTATTGCCAGAAATTTTGGTAGTGAATTTGAAAATTATTTGCAGTTTGACTTAGCTGATATTTAATGAAAGCGATAAAACTAAATGGAGTGTGATAAATTATTATCCTTACATAATATTTCCATTTTCTTTCTCGTATAATAGAAGTTTTCATAGATTTAATAAATCAATTTTCTTGTAGAATGAGCAGGAGTATGAGAGTAACATCTGTATCATCTATCTGTTGTTAAAATAATCCTAACATCATATAACAGGTAACAGGTAGCTAAAGTGTTAGATTATAAACATTCCAAATTTTATTGATCAAAATTGCACTGGGAAAAGTTGACAAATTTTATTAGCAAAAACCATATAGACTTAACATTCAGTTCAGTACGCGAACTCACTTCTCGTGATGAACACTTGATTTTTTTTTCTTTTATTGCGAGTTTTGACAACCGTGTTTAAGTTCACAAAGTGCTAAGATGTGGATGGCAATTCATAATTTTCATTTTCATGTTGGTTGTGCAAGATAAACTCGTGAAATCATATTTGGCTCAACTCAACTGAATTTATGGAACCATCTGTGAGTTGTTAAGCTTCTGTTTTTGTTGATGTAGCTGAATGTCTGTGGATCCAGAATGGTATTCTCCTCCTAGTAATGTACAATATTTTATCTAATAAGCAATAGCCTTAGCTCTGAAGCTTTATTTCTTTATAGTAAATGTGGAATCATTATAGAATTATCCGAATATATTTCGTTCTTTCAGGTATTGTGTTAAGTCAAATTTTTCAAGAGGAACATATTTCGGAAAAGAAAGGAAACATTGCCACTGAATGTGTTCAGGTACACAATGAACAAATCATTTCTTGAATCGAAATAAAAGGAATTGCTTGTGCGTATTGTTGGATAAGTATGGGGGATTACTGAGAAAGTTTTCGAACGAAAGCACACCATTAATCATAGCAGGAATTCATTGCAAAAATATTGTAAGGCGAAAAATATTTGGTTCGAGATATGTTTTATCAGACTTATCCTATTTTTATACATGTTGTTTTGAAAAGCGTATGTTAAGCACCATATTTTTCTATACATTCAGCAAAAGAAACAAGAATTCTGATGATTCAGTCAATGAGTTTTATCTACCTTTTGTATTCAGATACCAAGCTAAAAAGATTTACTCCTGATATTTTTATATTTGTGAGATTTTGAACGGAAATAATCTGTTAAGTTTTCTTTTCTTTTTGTTTATAATTTATTTCTAACTATTCAGGAAATAAACTGTAAAACGGCTTCTAAATTAGTTTAATTGAGAACTTGCTTAAATAAATTAAAATCTTTTAATAACTTAAGGCTTTGAAGATTACTATGATTACAGATAGGCCTTTATACATGTAAGGGGATAGACTTGAGATTCAGTTGTGCAGATTAAATAAAAATACTATAGAAAATGTTTAGGTGTGGTCTAAACACATAAAAAGTTTATAAACTGTTAAATTATTTGCAGGAGTTTTAGCTATTCGTATTTCAGTTAACTATAAAACATTTGAAATCAAATAAAGTTGGACATATTTCACAGTTATTTCAAGAAGAATGTAATAATGATTTATACGCAACATTTTAATTTGTTTCAGATGAAAACTGTTTTTAACATTAAGAGGTATTTTTGCAATTAGTTTCTTGGCTGCTTAGTGCTGTTTCAAACAGCTTTGGATTAATAAAGGTTTTTCTGAACAGACTGTAAATTCAAGAACATAGTGAAATGTAATTAATTTACTGAAGAATTATTCTCCTCTCGCTTCTTACATATAGATTTTACAGATAAAAACATTCTACAGGAAATGTGTTTTTAAAAATATAAAAATATATTGAGTTTGAACAAATTTAGGAGGTAAAGATCATACAGAATTAAATTAACTTGCAGACATTTTGGAACCAATAGCTAACTGATGAGTTTAAAACGCTAAAAGTGCAAAGGAAACATTACTCTTTCTTAATACATTTCTTTATAATAGATTACTAGCTACTTCTTCTTGCTAGCAACCGGACTTGCTAGTAATCGGGAGACCCGAAGTCCGAATCACAATGAGAGTGTTGCTGGTTTTTTGTGTTTCCTCCTCCTAAATAAACCTAATGACTCTATTCGTACACTCAGCTTTGTTTGAAACATTCACCTTACTCCTGCTTACCTTACTGGCAGCTGCCATCTTATCTATGGCCACGTTTATCTACGATTTAGTGAGTTCTTTGGATTGAATTGGTAGCACAAGAAAATTGCTTTGTTTTTATTTGAAGGAACTCAATTATTAGAAATTAAATGACTATTACAGCTTTTCCTTTTCTTTCAAAATCGCACAACTTTCGAAAGAAAATGCTCGTCTTAACATACAGGAGAAAATGTTTAGCCAGCCTACATGTAAACAAGTAGATATTCAATCATGACTATTCTACAAATTTCTGCTCTCAATGAATGTGTTTAATACTGAGAGATAACATAAAATTGCCATTAAATATTCACCAAAGAAACAAATTTCATTTATACAGAGATACACATATGAATATCTTCTTCTTTCTAGAATTTCTGTAGAGCAACTTACCTGGTTTCTTTAGTATTCTTACCCAGGGAACACATCATCGCCTTCATGAGGTAGGGAAGTTAGAACGAGAAAGTATCATGCCATGGTAGTTGAAGTAGCAGTTATTCTTTGCAATCATCAGATCTGACTCTTCCTGTTCGTGACACAATTGTGGAAGACAAATAAGAAGTTGATGGGACATTCGTAAGAACAATGCAGAAATCAGGCCATCAAAAGAAGTCTAAATCTTTCCTTTTTTCAGTTCTTTGTTGCTCCAGAAGATTTGTCATGGGAGTGTTTAATAACTCATAAATATTTTGGATTTTTGATCGGATATTAGAAATATAAATCTGAAGTATATTTTAAAATTAATTATTTTAACTTTGTCTTATGTTTTTGTTTTATTTACTTTAAAAAGATAAATCTCTTTAAAGTAATCTTTAGATATCATGAACATGTACGTTTTGTTTGAAGCATTCAATTTACTTCTGCTTATTTTACAAACGTTGTCAGCCTTGGGCTTAAATGCTAGTGAAGCGATTATTTTTAAGTGTAATTTCTATATCTCAGCAACTGGAGTGAAGTTTGAAAAAGACAATAAGTACATTTTACAGCGTTAGTAGATTTATACGCAAATAAATAATATTTGTTTATGTAATTTACTGATATAGCAGTTTTGCATGTTTATATTTTAAAACGCTTTTGCAAACATGTTTTCAAAATTAAAATATTTTAATTAATTAAAACACATACTAATTATACTAATTTCTAGCACTGAATATGATTCTTTATTTATTAACCATAAAATGCAACCATTGTTTCTTTAAAACAAATTTCTATTGAAGCTATTTCGGGAAGAGATTTTATCTTTCTCAAAAGCGCATTAATAGTTTCGAAACTTGTGCAAACTATATGTAGTTCTTCATATATTTTCGAATTTTTCTTTAAAAATTTTTATTTTAAAGAACCAGACAGAGTTTTGAAAGTCTTCATGTACATTCAAGAAATCGAATATGTGTGAAGGGAAGCTGCTGATAAAATAATATCAAGGTGCGAAATAACTTCCAGAACAAAGTACTTTCAAAGAAAATGGTTCCAAAAATCTAAGCCAAAGTATAAATAAATTTAGAACACAATGAAAACAATTATAATTGAAAATACAGATGAATACACAATATTTTACTCCAAACCCTGCACCCTATTTCTGTACTACGTTTTCCTAAACATTTTTAGATATATGTATTTTATTGCTTTAAAATTATATCAAGAATAAATCCATTGAGCTTGAGTTAGTTTTTATGTGTAATTTTTAAATTTGTCATTGAGCATAAGTGAGATTTGAAAGAATATATTTCGAAATTTCTATATATCTCCTTTAAAGAATAAAAAATTCATTGCCATAGATTAAATTATCTTGAAGAACAAAGAAGAAAATTTTTATTTCAAAATATTAAATGAAAGTAGCTCCATATTCTCAATAAATGCAGTGTCGAGAAAAAGTTAATGAGTATGGATACATAAAACTAAGATTCATTTCCTCTACGAAGGCGAAGTGCTGTCAGACGGATGGTCTAAATAAATTTTACCTTTCTATCGGATGAGGAGATTTAAACTCCCGAGGTTCAAAAACGAATCGCATACAATGAGCCCAGCCACAGTGTTTGAAAGGATCTTTTATCCACTCCAACCTCAATACTTGGTGCGCATCAAAAGAAAGCATTCACCTTTTTAAGAAGACAAATGATCTCCTAACTGCTTTCGCCTTCGCTATGATATTTTTTGATATTTTTTTAGAGAATAATTTTTTATTCCATTCTTCATCAGTTCGGTTCTTTTTCCCCTTCTGTGGCTTTTTCTTAGTCATCAAGAACTTTTTAAAATATATTTCTTATTAAACCTACCGTTTGGCCGTGTCCTGGTTTCAGTAGTTTTACTTCCCTTCTTACTAGTAATTGCTTTTGATCTTTTCTCCTTTTTTTGTAAGGATTCTCCCAAATGATTTTGGAAGCAGAGAGCGCGAGGAACTTGTATCGATTATTGCAATCGCTTGTCATCTTAGGTAATTTCTTTATGTTATTTTTTACTATGTAGAAACTAACATTGTGCGATTTTTTTCGAAAGGAGATATTTCTTTGGCTTAGAGATTTTCTCTTTTTTCTAAAGCTCAAGGATCGCGAATAGAAAATTTAACTCTGGATATTGGTACATTTCTCTTTTGTTAAGTAGGTTTTTAATGGTATATTCCTATTTTGATGCTTGGAGCTTAAATTGTTGTTCTATCGTGATGCGTTCTACTTCTCGGTAGAGGTACAACCAATTATTGTGAGCAGGGGAATGTTATCAGCATTTAAGAGATTTTTTATTTGTCTGCGGTACAAGGTAAGAATATTGATCGCACGTTACGTGAGGCAGCTGATGGGAAATTCGAGAACATCCCGCCTGTTATAAAAATATGAGAATAGAGATAAAACAGAATGTTTTACTGCTAAAAGTGCAATTTATCAAAAATCATTACTCCCAAGTTACATTTTTCATCTTGATACTTTTCTTTTATCTCCCTCTTACTCTCTCTCTTTCCATATATATATATAATATAAATTTTTTTTACTAGAAAAAGATTATAGTATCTTGGAAATTGAAAACACTATTGTAAAGAAAATTCTTAGCAATAAATCAAGAATGAGTCACTCTAATCCTTTAAAAGGGTATTAAAAATAAACATTAATTTTTTTCAAAACATTTTTTAAACACGAAAGATAAGCTGTAAATTAATTATTCAATGTCTGTTCCAATTAGATACATCAGTGGGTAATTAATTAAAACATTAAACAATAATAATTAATGAGTTCTGAATACAAATTTCGTCCTTTTTGACCACTTGAGTGAAAAATTTTAAAATAATATACAAAGATTTTTTATAATAAACATAACCCCATTGTCAAAAAGTAAAAAATATATACCCCAACGTGAATTCAGATAAATGTTATCCACCTGTAAGTGGCATTAAATGCTAGAAAGATTTAAAATTCGGATAAAGTTTAATTTTCATATCTAGTTAGTTCAGTCAACAGTCTTTCATCGAATACGTATGCTTCTTTTATTTATTCATAAATTAAAGATTTGTCAATAACGTTATCCTAACAATACCTCCTATTATTATGTAAACTGAAGGTCCCTTCAACTGCATTAAAACTTCATTAACGCAAAATTATTATATATAAATAAGTACACTGATTTAGATGTTTAAAGTAATATTATGAAACAAGAAACTGAGTTAGTTAAATTAAAATTATCGTTGAAGTCAGCAGTGTATTTGATTAAGAAGCGTTTATTCAAATAAATTAAAACTGCTGCGTCTGCTCAAATATTAAATAAATTGAGAACAATGCTCATAGCTATCTTTTAAAATGCATATTAATTGAGACCGCAATTTTCCTCCTTTTCAGTGATCATTAATATATTTATGATCCAACTTGTTATTTACTACAGAATTAGTATTAATGTCTTCAAAAATTGGTTATTTACTGCAAAATGCAGCATTGTAATGTTACCATTTCATACAACAGATGAAAAGAATAACCGTAAAAGCAGTAATTTTAATTCGTTTAAATGTTTTAGGATATATTTAGGAAAACTCTTAAGAATGTATGAAAGGAGTTTCATAAATTAGAAACATTAACTTCATTAATAACTTAAGCATGTTATTCAAGTTTATAGCATTTATAGCATAAATACCTGCATTTAAATTTGCATGCAACAGTCTTACTTGAAAACAGGAAGTTACTTCATACCTTAAGGTGAGACATGCAGTAAAGTCGCACTTAATCGAAAACAAAGGGAAGAGTATAAACTGAATCTTTACGATGTTTGTAAATAAGGTACTGAGAATTTTCCTACAAGCACTTTTATTCACATTTAAATTACCTATCCACTCGACCTTTTAGAAGTCATACATGGCTTGTGGCGTTTTTTTCATCTTTCACAACAATGCTCGAATTCCGAAATTGAAATAGTCTTCAGCTAGTCGGTCACGGTGTAAGGATCCTAAGTTTTACTAACGTTTATTTTATTTTAAATCTTTACTATCACTTCTTATTTTCTACTTCCGGCCAGAATTAAAAGCTTTAACTTATTTATGCAAATTTGTCTTAACGCCAAGTGCTTAAGTTATGGCTTTTTGCCAAGCAAGAGAGAGGAAAGAGTTATTGCAAGCCGCTTGCCATAGTAGTTTTACTCGGTTGCCTTCAAGGCCAGAGGTTTAGTCCTCTTGATAAGTTCAAACGTATCGTAGTTTTAGCAGCTCTCTGTACTACATACGGATTTTGTTAAATAACGGCCAATCTTAAATCTAGGCACTTTTGTATTAATCCAAAGTTATTTTTAGTTAGAGTTTTAGTTAATAGTTTTTATATCTTACGTTCAGACCACAAGTGGTTGGTCTCTGTATTCCGAAGTTTCCGGAAATCATTGTAAAGAGAGAAAATAAAGGGTTTCGTATACCCTTCCTGTGTGTATTGTCTACTTCACAATTTATTGAACATAGCTTGAGTAAGCTCCCTGTTCCTAGTCAGGACAGTTCATGTTTCCAAAGCAAGTTAAGAGGAACACAAGTCCTGATAACGGTCGTCTTAATGCTTTTTGTAGGTTCAAAATGATCTCTTCAAATGAGTTTCCAGATTGAGGAAGAGAGCAAAATCACCAGAGAATGAGATCAGGCAATTAAGGTGGCTGAGACACAACACGGATGCATTTTAGAGCCAAAAGCTTTCTTACGGGCCGTTCCCACTAGGGTTTATCTGAGCTAAAGACGTAGCCGACTAATCTCCGAAACCAGATTTTTTCCATAGGGCAGCAAGTTTAAAAATCTGAACTGCAGGTTGAGGCTAACGGAGTCAGTTCCATGTGTCGACTAGCTAGCTAGTCGACACATGGAACTGACTAGCTAGTCGACACATGGAACTGACTCCGTTAGCTCAGATAAATCCCAGTGAGAAAGGCCCTTTAAGGTAAGCTCCGTGGGACACGGAGCATTGTCATGAGGAATTCTGATTTTCAGTTCCTTCTTGAAGATTTGATATAAAATTGTGCGATTTGAGTTTAGCTTTTCTGCACATAATCTT